GAGAGAGAGAGAGAGAGAGAGAGAGAGAGAGAGAGAGAGAGAGAGAGAGGAGTGTGTTGGGCTTGGCGTCCACTGCTGCCCGACAAATCGGAATAATAATTTCAAGTTTCTGCTGATATCTCTCTCGGTGCTCGGATTCACGAGTGTTGTTGAACCTTGAGTGCTTTGCATGACTGCAAAGTGGGAGCCAAATTGAGTTGGACCATTGCATTGCCAATGACTGAAATAAAATGCAGACAGGCCAAAAAAGGGATGAGACAATTTGGTGAACAAGTAATGGAACAAGAATCAACCGCCAGGACTCACCTCGGTCTCGACAGTAAAATCCCAAAGCAAGGGAGGGATCAATCGCATCCATGGGGATTCGCCTCACAACACTGCTGCCACAAAAAAGAACCAGGATAAAAACGGTTGCAAGTTAGAAAATATTCTACAGGACTTGCAATAGCCAGCACAGTTAAATTCTGTAGTACTGTGTACCCAAAAAGACAAAAATCAAACTCAATACCCAAAAGCACAAAGCCGTTCAAATTCTAAACCAAATAATGGTGGTAAGCTAGGCTGTTTTTCCGGGCGCCTGGGCACCCAACTTCTGCCTGGGTACACGCCCGGGTGCCCGGCCGTGCATGACCCCCGGGCTGGGTTCTGGGCAGCCCCAGCGCCAAAAAAAAAGAACAAAAAACTCAAAAAGATTCCGGAAAAAAAAAATGTTGTGTAGGATTGAAATGCAAACCACTTTTGGCTGAGGGTCACATTATAATTCCTCACAGAATCGGAGGTAAAAAAGAAAATAACAGAATCACACAAAGGCACCCCCCTTTCGATTTGGAGTCCTCTGGGAGAGCGCAGAAAACCAAAAAAAAAAAAAAAAAAAAAATCTTTTTTTTATTTTTATTTTTTGCACGCCCGGGTAGCCCGGGCGTCACGCCCGGGTGCCCGGCCGGGCAGGACCGGCCGGGCGTGAGAATCTTCCTAGGTGGTAAGTGTAATATTTGTTGTCAGTTTTTGTACAGTTACCTATGGAGCACTTGTTCAGGTTACAAAAACTAGAAGTCTAGAACTTAGACGAGGCAGGAGTAGAGACGCTCACAAGTCACAACGAACTTCAACTCAGTCATAGAACAGTGGCATTTGAATTTTGAAAGCAGGTGTTCAAAATTTGGAAAACGGCAAGCCCATTCACACAGCCTAGATTGATATTAGACTTTCCATCATAGAAGAGCAGTGTTGGATCCCAAATAGACCACAGCGTTTACAGATCCGTATCTGCCGTCAGAACACAGGTACAAGGACCCCATGTTCAGTTGTACATGCACCTTCTAATATGTTGTCTAACACACACACACACACACACACACACACACACACACACACACACACACACACACAAATGTCATGAACCCCTCGACGGAAACCATGACTCCATGGCCTTCCGGTCTAATACGTTGTCAAACAACACACACACACACACACACACACACACACACACACACACACACACACACACAAATGTCACAAACCCCTCGACGGATACCATGACTCCATGGCCTTCCGGTCTAATACGTTGTCAAACAACACGCACACACACACACACACACACACACACACACACACACACACACACACACACACACACAAATGTCACAAACCCCTCGACAGATCCCATGACTCCATGGCCTTCCAACAGTCTACACGTTGCTTGTACTGCAGAGTCTAAAATTTTCCCGTCTCACACAGCCAGTGTGGCTGTATGGTATACATATGCCCTTGTTACCAAACAGATCATGAGTTCAAATCCTGACGGACTCAGATGCATACAAAATGTCATTCGTGTATTTGTTTAAAAGGAAGGAAAACTCCCCTTGCCAAACAAGCGCTGGAAAACTCGACAAGCGCATGCAAGCGTTAGCAAACAGATCATGAGTTCAAATACTAATGGAAGCAGATGGATGCAAGATGTCGTTCATATATTTGTAGGAAAGACACACAAAAACGCCTCTTGCCAAACAAACGCTGGAAAACTAGTGGACAAGCACATCCTATCAGACTACACGAGGCAAACCGAGGTCACTACATCCATAAGAGTCAAGTCGCACCTTACTGCCGTACTCTCCCGAATTGAGCACAGGGTTCACAAATCCATATCTGCAATCGGAACACATACAAAGACCCAATGTTCTATTTTGGACGGAGACTGTGCGTAATACAGCCTACACAGCAAAAGAATCATTGGTGTTGGTCAGTTCCTCAAGGAAAATATCCCCCCGCTCTGCCCTCACTTGGCATTCTCCTTTGTGGCAATTTATGAGTTAGTCACACCCTACCACCGCCAACCCCCAATTTATCATCGACTCCAACCACGCAGTGCGATAAGTGGGGACCGCCACCTGTCGTGAAAGGGGGTAACTGAGAAGGACTAACCCTTGGTCAACAACCCCCAACTATGTCTACGAGACGCAGTTGAATGGGTTTGTGAACGTGGGGTGCAGGTAGGATTAGGAACTAGACACGTTCGGTCAGGATAGAGAGTGTTATCCTCACTCTATAATTAATACCATCATACGGTCCATCCCCCAATTCATGAGTGAGTCACGCCCTACTACTACGATCCCCCAAATAGAGCACAGGGTTAACACATCCGTGTTTACCCACACGGTCGTGCCTCTATTTTGGTGGTGG